TGTGATCGAAAGATATTGCTTCGAGCAGTTAATAAAATACGCTAATATCATTGACACTTAATTTCTTAATCGATTATGAATAATAAAATTATATAATGTAGTGAAATAAATAACGCGACACAATAAATTAAAATATCTATAACTGATATTGTATTAATTATACGAAAAAAATTCGTTTGAAACAGAAAAGATAGAGAGTTACGTCATTGCGACCGACGTCGCTTCCGGAAGTAATAGCTTTTATCTTCTCTCGGCCATGCGAGAGACTCGGCCGTGGCGATCGATTCCCCGAGACACCCAGTATACGGCGACCATGTGCCGCTGCCGGCTTCTCTGCCCCGGCGGCGTAACCTTTGCGTAATGTACGCACACCCGTGCTCATAACGCGCATTAATTAGCGAGAGAGGCAATTAGTCGGACGCGAGCACTACGTACGCAGGCACTCAGATGCCATCGCAGCTAATTACTGCCCGCTGGGACGCGTGCCTTCGATTCCGCAAGAGAGACACACGGTCGAGTCACGCGGATTTGAACTTGAAAATAAAAAAAAAACTCGTTTTGGTAACACAATTATACATTTGATCGCTTATATAAAGTAACACAAGTGTAATTCGATTGTAGGAGAAAAAAATTTTCCTTCTCTCATATTATACGCGTACACACGCGCAAATAAAAATCACGTTTGCGAAACGCCTCTCCGATAAATTCTCATTTATCGCAATATGTTTCTCCGATTTCTCCCATTTATCACGATGTGTCATTCTGTGGTGGAATTATAGTTTTTTTTTTTTTGTACAAAAAGAAACACACATTTTTTCTCTATTACGTTTTTACTTCATCAAAACAACAATCTGTGAATGTGAATAGGACATATTTTGAGGACAAACATCAATGTTGAATTGATACGAACTACTGTTGCTATAGACCCCCCGAGTACATCCTTGACAATGTACCGCTTACCTGAGCGCGAGAGCGTGGTGTGCGTAACGTAAAGGACCCGCATATCCCAGAGGGGGGCGCACGCATGCAACACAGACAGTTCACCTTCGTCGAAGTCGCGGAAAGAAAGAGAGAAAGAGAGCGAGGAAGAGAGAGAGAGAGAGAGAGAGAGAGAGAGAGAGAGAGAGAGAGAGAGAGAGAGAGANAGAGAGAGAGAGAGAGAGAGAGAGAGAGAGAGAGAGAGAGAGAGAGAGAGAGAGAGAGAGAGCGGAGAGTTCCGGACGTGAGGAGGTAGAGAATCCTGATCTCGGTGAAGCCGAGAGTCGTTTTGTTGTGCGAGCTCGTGCGCGCGCGACCTTCTCTGAGAGACCTCAAGGACGGCGAAACGCATCATCGTCGGCCCGAATGCCGCAGGGAAGAAATCCGGCAAGGCCGACCGGGGCAGCGCGCGTATTCTGTTTCTTCTCCACTTGGAGTTCTTTTTTTTTTCGATCACGCCCATGCCGGACGAAAATAATTGGACACGACGGACGCAACGATATCCGCTTATCGCGGCGCATTGCGTTCGCACGCGGCTCACCGAAATTAAACAATTAAAACTAAAATATGAGATTTTAAAAAAGTAAATTGCGAGATTTGAATTACACCGGCGCTATAATTTGATTTAAAGATAACGCTAATGAGAAACGCAACAGCATTTTATTGTTGATAAATATTACGCGCGAGATAGACGTCCGATTTGTTTGTGTTTTATCAGTTGCGGTAAAAAAAAAGAAAAAAGAAAAAAAACAAAACACATCAAGTTTTGTATGAAAATTTTGTTTTCACAAACTAAGCTACAAAAAAAAAAAAAGATTATTTTACTTTTTCACGAAACGATATTGGCACGCGCGTGCCATCCGATATCCGTTGATATATGTATACTCTCTTTCCGCGTAACCATCAATATTTCCGTGATATTGCTTTATCAATTTTTGAAACGATTCGAAAATGCCAGATCCGCGTATCCTCACGCCGCGTGTTTCGAGATATTGTTGGAAAAAATTTGCGCGAGATAAAAATAAACAACGCCGTAAATGGACGCTCGGACATTTATAATAGCATCGAACAAATGGATGTCGCCGATAATTGCGCGCGTTTTGCACAGCGCGCGGAAATACCGCAACTTCTGCATTCTCTCTCTTTCTCTTTCTTTCTCTCTCTGTTCGTTAACTCTCGCCGCGCGAATAAATTTATTCGCCGCGTCGCGTCGCATCGCGCGTTAATCACGCGCAAGAGTTCCTCGCTTTTACTCGCTCGCTTATTAAACCCTTATCGGTACGTGTCGTCGTCGGGCGCGGTGCTATTTCAAGTATAGCATCCCTGGCGGTTTTATTGCGGGTCGCGCGCCGCGCGCAAATTCTTCCTCTCTCATCGCGTCCAGACGCCCTCGATCATCGCCGCGGCTCGATCCTTTTCCTCCATTTTCTCCTCCCCTTTTAGATTCTGCATTATACATATTTTTCTATCCTCTATCTCTCTCTCTCTCTGTCTCTCCCTCTCGATTTCGTTCTTTTATTTTTGCTTCAGCCGGCTCGCTTCCATAAGCAAGAGATAGCCGGTGATCGATCTCTTGCTTTCCGTTTAATTAATTTTACGCTTCTAATGTTTCTTGTATATAATAACGCACAGATATTGATATAGCGTTTCATTTCAACGTTCAAAGCGATGCTGGATGTTATTGTAAGTGCGTTTGTACAGTTCGTGCGCATTATATACATTATTTCTGGTGGTTATTTGTTTTTATGCGCTCCTCGTACAAAGAATAATGCGCCGTATCTGTTAACTTCGTATACCGTAAAAGAAACTCCACGTACGGGGGTGTCCGACTATTCTTTTTTTTTTTTTTTTTTCCCACATTTTTCGACCATACGTATGTACTTCACGCGCGTCGTCTCGCCTCGCTTCTATTTTTTTTTTTTTGGTTTTTTTTTGTCCCGTCTGCTCTCAAATAAAATACCTACCCTGCGACCGTGAACGCCGATTTGGCCCGACGGGATGCGAGGAGGAGCGTGATGCAGTGAGCGAGGCAGGTGATTCAGCCGTGATAAAAGAGCTAAAATATATACATATATGTTCGCGTGGCGAACACCTCGGCCGCTGTCACGTGAGGGAAAATAAATCGAGAAACAAGAATTTTCGGACGACCGCGCGCAGTTTTTGCGTCACGTTTAACGCTAAAATAAAGCGCGATATAAAACACACGCCAGAGAGGGAGGAGGTGACCCATCTTATATGCGAGTTTTAATCTTTCACATTCGCGTGTTTACTCTCCGCTCCGATTTGTAAAGCCTCGGACTCGGAACGGGCTCGTAAAACCCATGGGGTTCCCGACCGGACGTCCGGGTTCACGTATCCGTGACAAATTCGGGTGAAAGACTACACAGCCCCTCGGCGGGCTTATGATCCTTACAAAAGAATACAAATACATTCGGGAAATTTGACCGTAAATAAGTTTTAACCCTCAACGGACGGCGTGTTTTTCGGCACCTTAATTCTCCGGTCACGCGTCGTTTTCGTCTTGCTCTTTCGGCTTTTTAAAAATATTAAATATTTTTAAAAAAATCTGAAACACAATGTGTATATACTCTTTAAACTGTCTATTTTAAGACATCGTCATTAAATTTAGTGAAAAAAAAGTTTTAATTCATAATTTTTAGCAAATATAACAACAAGAAAATTACTTTCTTCAGAAAGTAATTTTGCTTTAGACGAAAACGACCCATGTCCGTCCGTTAATTTTTTCGCAATATTTGAAAATTAGTTAGGGAGGTACAGGCGGCGTCAATGAATCGTTTCGCGGACCTGAGGGGCTAGGGGGTAAGAGAGACGGTATTCTCTAGCAATAAGTACTGCCAACGGGCGCCGTACTAACTAACTGTAGCAGATCTCTCGATGAATTGACCAATTACAGTATTTACTGCTACACCGAAAAAATTGTATTCTTGTTTTGAGGATATCCCACTTACTTTAAGTATATTTTATACTAAAATAGGCGCCAAGAAGAGTTTCTTATTTTAAGAGGAAAATNCTCTAAATAGTAATATTGATAAGANTATATACTGATTAGAATATAAAAAGCCTCTATAGAAAAACATATGTATCTCACTATCGAAAAAGACTATATTCTTAAATAAAGAATATATTCTTAATTTCAGAAGAATATCATCTAAAATCTTTAAGAAGATTTTTTAAGTATAAAATCTTCTACTTACGAGAATATAATTTTTTCGGTGTAGAGAATACCGTCCCTCTTACCCCTAGCTCCCCGCGTCCACGAAACGATTCATTGACGCCGACTGTACATGGGGTCTCTCATATATGTGATGCAAGTGTATAGCATTCTGTATGAATTTAAGAATTGAAATCTCAATTCAAACACTCACGTGTAAGATTTACACGTGAACACACACACACACGCGCGCATATTTCCGCGCAACATCCAGCGAACGGCTCTCATAACCGTCTATTTACATTTAGAAACTTCGGAACCTATAAGATTCTTTGTTAATTAGTACAAGTAATTTTCTCAAAACCTTTGTGATCAAACTCGCGCGACTGATAATTGAAAATGCAACTCGGCATTGTCACAATTGTCACGTTTTTTTATCGAGATAAACGTGATAAAAGATAAACGCTCGCTCATATGTGTGTTAAATAAATAAAAACCAGTTGTGGAAGAGATCCGTGCATAATCTTATCGCAAAATGTTTATTTTCTCATTTTGTGCGCGCCAGTCAAAATAATTAAATTTGTAATCGAGATCGTATTTTTTTCGTGAGTGTTTCTTTTTACTACTATCGGAAGAAACAATAATCAGGATCGTCGTTTGCTTTTGATGTGTCGTTTGCGCGATAGCGATTGCTATACATAAATATTGATTAAATGCGAGATCGATGCGTAACAGGCTGACTCACGAAAAAACTTGGCGCGAATGTGATGATGAGAGATATCGTCATTTTGTTTACAAACTTGCGAATTTCGTCTCGTCACATCATATCGTCGTTAAATTTCTGTTTCAGACCTTGGATTTCGACAGAGACGGTCTCACGAAACTGAAGAAGGCTATCAAAGCTATCTACAATTCCGGAAACGGTAAGTCGTCCTTGAATTTTTATCTCGTGAACGCGCACGTTTCTCGTCAAAAAAAAAAACAAAAAAAAACATCTCATAATATTTGTATAGTTTTTTTTTTTTTTTGTATGCACGGAATTGTTTCACTTATTTGAATTGTTCAATTAGTTCGACATTTATATAAATCGATTTGTGTCTGGATTTTATTTCATCTCTCTCCCCGAACGGAGAGAGAGGTCATGCTTGATGTCAATATCCTCTCTCTAAAGAGGAGTCTATAGACTCGGGGAGTGAGAGAAATTGTGCACCGAGACTTTTACGAGTCGGGTTATTCGCCAGCTTTCCGCCACTTTTCCATCGGGCAGACAGATCGATTTCTCTGGCGCCTCCTTTGTTTCCCCAAGCCAGACTATTCCCCGCGCAAGAGTCCGGGGGTGGGCGGAGGGGGGAGAAGATGGGTCTTATAATTCTGAATGCCTCACATTCTGGAGTCTGCGATCGGCATCTCTTCTTTATGACCGCACAGTTATACTTATTCACGTTCCTCTCTCTCTAAGCAGTCTATAAACGAGCAAATCGATATGTGTTGTCCACGTAGATTACATTGTGTGCCACTGTTGTATGTATGTATGTGTATCGCTGGTACAGAACGTCTCGTCGCGGTTATCAAACCGCGCGTCATTTATTCACGTGTACAATATGGCAGATAATACGCGCTTGACATAATGAAATCATCGAAGAAGGGCTTTGGAAAATATATTCGTGTTATTGTTTTTTTTATAGTACAAAACAATGTTTCTTTGTTTGTTTGTTTTTTTTGTACAAGCAGTACACGGAAAAAAAAGTTTTGCTATTATATAGTGAGCAAAAAAAAAATGGTTGACCCTAGGAAATTGTTTGTTTCATCAACAAAATGTTTTGTTGGCAAAACAAAAATTTTACTAAACTTAACCCTCTACAGGCCCATGTAACTTTCAAGTCACAAGCTAATATATCCACATTTTACCAAATAGTTTTAGTTTTTTTTTCACAAGATGATGTATACGTCTTAATTATATAATGCATCTGAAATAACCAATAACAATATTGATGACGGTTGGCAGCACCATCAACCTGAAATGTCAAATTAAATACCTTGCAAGTTGTCTGCAGATAGAAAATTCGGCCCATAAAGGATTAACAAATGTTTTTTCGCTGGCCATGTAGTAACTAATTTCTTGCTATTCTAGCAAATCTTTTTTTTCCGTATACGAGTAACATATTAAGCCCCGTTCTCTACATTGATCGCAAGAGACGAATCGCGAGACGTGTCAGAATCGATTTCAGATGCGATTTGAGTCGTCATCCACATCGCGTCGTAAGTTACAGCCAGTCGGTAAAGAGAGTAGAGAAAAAAAAAGAAACACGAGAGTGAGGAGCTCGATGCTTATTGGCTGTCGCAAGATCGCGGAGACGCAAACGCTTTGGTTTTTGGACAAACTTTGCGATTTCTGCTTGCGACGGACACCTCCTCACGACGATCGCAATATAAAAACTGAAGTAAAAGTACATTACAGGTGAACAAAAATGACTTTGTTCACACACACGACCTTGTCATCGACTTTTTTTTTTTTTTTTATAGATAATAATACACGTCGTGTCGGTTACCTTCCTTGAACGTGTATTAAATAAATAGTGCGCACTTATTTATATACATTTTATATAGTTACGTAAGTGGCTACCAAGTAAGTTGAGTAATCGCGTCAGCCTCGTTAGAAGAAGAATAGATAAAGAGGCAATGTATTTTTTTTTTTACAGATATTTATTAAACATTTATATATATATAATTCACCACACGCACAATGAAGCGAACAATTTCCGATCGTTACGAAAGAATATGCGGGAAAAAGCGATTTTCAGCGGGAATAAAAATGAGTAGCGCCGCGTTCTCTCTCAAATTTATCAATGTTTTAAACAATTATGACTTAAAGCTCGTTGAAATTAAAACTAAGAAATATATATGAGATCTCTCACATGTGAGATGTAAATCCACACTGAAAAAATTGTATTCTTGTTTTGAGGATATCCCACTTACTTTAAGTATATTTTATACTAAAATAGGCGCCAAGAAGAGTTTCTTATTTTAAGAGAAAAATCCTCTAAATAGTAATATTGATAAGAATATATACTGATTAGAACATAAAAAGCCTCTATATAGAAAAACATATATATATCTCACTATCGAAAAAGACTATATTCTTAAATTAAAAATATATTCTTAAATAAGGAATTATATTCTTAATTTCAGAAGAATATCATCTAAAATCTTTAAGAAGATTTTTTAAGTATAAAATCTTCTACTTACGAGAATATAATTTTTTCGGTGCAGCATCCCGTATGATATATTTTAAAAATTGAGATTTCAATTCAAAAAATACTCACTTGTAAAAATTTACAAGTTGAATTCGTTACATGTGTGTATATATATGTATATACACACGTACAGTTTCCGCTCAACATCCTGGAAACGGTTCGTAAGCCGTTATATATTTCTTAGTTTTATCAATTTTTTTTTCTCTTTTCTGAACTTGACTTAAAAACTCGTCGGGCGATCGAAAGATTCTTAAAGGCTAGATTATAGACCAAGCTGGTCGCACAAGACCGACGACCGCTCTTCACAAATATTTTCTCAGTGTGAAGCAAGCCTGAGCAAACACGGCGGAGATATGTTGTTCTTGCTGAATTGGAGAGGATTGAGTTATAGATCTTTCGTGACGCGCAATGAGCGGGGACAGTCGCAAAATTGCTTCCTCTAGGTCGCGAAACGTCGCGTGGTTATATATGAGAAGATCCTCATATAACCACGCGAACGTAAGGATTCGAGCGCTGTAATCGTCGCGAATAGTCTGTAATTATAAGTATATCGCGTAATGAGAATACACCGCGTGGGAGCCTGGCATTGTGAGATTTTTTTTTTTTTTTTTTTGATGAGAGCTTTTATTTCTGTTTTGATCCTTAAGTAAGACAGGCGGTGACGACAGACGTGTATAAAAGATTTGAGAAACGGTCATTAAATGATAATTATCACATCAACTTGTTTAATATCATTGTTTCCGCTGGAGAAAGCAATTTAGAGTCTCTGATTTCGGTAGGTTGATGACGAGTTCGGTTATTATGATCGGATTGACAAAACGACGATTTTACGTTTCGCTTACGAAATTTAATTTCTTCAACATTCTCTGTTTTATCTCTTTAACCCGCTCGCCCGTTCCGCTCTTCATTTACCTTTGTGCTTTGTACAACTCTTTTCTTGCCGCGATCTCTTCATCTTCAAGAAGACTCTCTCTTGTCTTCACTGTGTACTTCATTAGCTCGTGTAATCGCAGGTAGTCTGCTTCACTCTTTGCATTTTTTTTTTTTTTTTTTGGGGCTAATAGTCGTTTTTGTTCTCTTGTGTCATTTTGTCGCTTATCTTTACTCTTTCTCTGAGAGATTGTTCTGATAGAAACTTTTAGAAATATATTACACGATATCTCGTTTGAAAATATCAATTTCTATGAAATCGGTGTATGAATGAAACCGGCAAAATATTTCACAATTTTAATAATGATTTTAAGGCTTGTTGAAAGTTAAACCAGAGAAATATATAAGGCCTTACGAGCCGTTTTCAAGATGTTGAGCGGAAACTATACTGTGTATATATATATGTATACTATATGCATACACATGTAACAAGTTCAACTTGTAAATTTTTACAAGTGAGTATTTTTTGAATTGAAATCTCAATTCTTAAATTCATACTGGATGCTGGATTTGCATCTCGCATATGACAGACACCGGATACCCCCCTAACTAATTTGTAAAATATTGCGAAAAAACATCTTGGAAACGGCTCGTAAGGCCTTGTATATTTCTTGGTTGAAAATATTTCACACATTTGTTCTTTCGAGTAGAAATCACACGTTCTACAAATTATATGTAAATTATATTTAGCTAACACAACATTATTATTTAATTATATTTAAGTGTCAAAAATATTGTACAAACAATAATTTTCATTATTAACCCTCAACGGACGGACATGGGTCGTTTATCTACTCTAGAATTTTTGTGAAAATTTCTTTTTTTTGGATTTGTTGTCATATTTGCTAAAAATTATGAAGTAAAACTTTTTTTCACTAAATTTAATGATGATTCAATGATTTCTTAAAATAGACAGTTTAAAGAGTATATACAAATTATTTCAGAGATTTTTAAAAAAATATTTAATATCTTTAAAAAGCCCAAGACGAAAACGACCCATCACCGGAGAATTAAGGTGCCGAAAAACACGCCGTCCGTTGAGGGGGTTAAAAATAAATACTAAATCGTAACACACACACGTGCGAGCTACGTGGTGTGACGTAAAAGCAAATTAAAATTATATTTGTCAATAATATTGCGTCTGCAAGATTTAACAAAAGCTATATTATTATATTGCTACTTTCTATAGAATTAATAACAACTCACACAGAAACGACAACGAACCGCTGTTTGCACGCGATCGAGATACGACGTGAAACGAAAAACGTATAGTAGTATGCATTCGATCACTCGCAGCGGGTGTTGCTTTTTTTTTTTTTTTTTTGTTTTTTGTTTTTACGAGTCGAGGCGATTTCCCGGCTATTTTTCACCCGTCAATCGACCCCAGTAATCGCGACAACTCCGTTCGTATCGGACCGGTCGAGTATTATTTCCGCGTCCGGTCACAATGGACCACTTTTCTCCTGACGCCGCTCTCGGACGGTGTCGTCGTTCGTCCACGCCCGCTGATTCTTTCCCCTATTCACCTGTTACCACATCGCGTTCCCACCCTTCTCTTCCCTCCTTTCTCTTTCTCTCCCTTGTCTCCGGATGCTACCTGACGATGGACAGGATGTGTACCCACGTATCGCTTCGGGCGCGAATCGCGCGGCGTGACGCGCTGTTTGCAAGCACGTGTTGTCCCCGGGAGACAATAGACCCGCGGGGAGCACTCACGATACTCCGATACTCTCTCGAAA